CCGAAGGGCTGCGGACAGAGCCGAGGGAGCCAGGGGGCGGGGGGGAGGGCTCGGGGCCCAGGCTCTCGGGGACGTCTCTGCGAGGCGGGAGGCGTGCGATTTTTGGCCAGTTTGGGACGGTCGACGGGGGGAGGCGCCATCGTCGCTGCTTCCGGCGGCCCTTCGGAGGTCTCGAACAACTTTCGGGTAGCTGACCGTCGGGGGGGGAGCTCTGAAAGCTCTCGAGGGCGCCAGACGAGCTCAGGAGGGCGGGCATCAATAACGTGTAAACATCCACTGCGGACGGGCGTGGGCGGCTTCTCCGCCTGCGCCGGACCCCCTCCTGCCCCCACCTAGGTGGCGACATCCAAACCGTATCCCAACCAACCAACGATTCTCCTGAATCGACGGAATCGATGGGAGGCGGGGGTAGGGTTCGGATCTCGCCACGTGTTCGACGGATTCCGAATCCCTATCCCCTCCGCCGATCGAGTTGCCTGAATCGTGGATCGGTGAGGGTAGGGTTCGAACTTCGCCGCCGAAAGCCCCTCCTCAAGGGGTAGGTCGGGCATGTCCCCCTACAGGTGGATTTTGAATGAAAATGAAACAGTTGACAAAAAATGCCCCCAAATGGGCAAACATAGTTTAAAAAATCATACCCATACTATTGTTTGCCTATTTGTGAATATTCCTCCTGCAGAAGGACACGCCCGACTTAGCCCTGGCGCTGGCGGAGTGGCCGTCCACGGGCGGCCGAAGTTCCTCTGGCCTCCGAGGCTAAGAGGCCGAGGGGTCCCCAGTCGGCGGGGAGCCCAGAGGGGGAATGCCGAGGGGGGTCAGGCCTTCTGGAAAGCGCTGGGGAAGCCCTGGGCCTTCTGAAAAGTCTTTCTGAGCCTTCCCCGGAGACAACCACACACACACACACATCCACATCCACCACCACCACCACCACCACCATCACCACCACCACCACCACCACCACTACCAACCCCAACAACCACAACCACAACTACGACCACAACCACAACCACAACCACCACCACCACCACCACCACCACCGCAACCACAACCACAACCACAACCACAACCACAACAACAACAACAACACCAACAACAACAACAACAACAACGACAACAACAACAACAACACCACCAACAACAACAACAACAACAACAACAACAATCATTTAAGACTGGGGACACTCCGTTCTCACCAGTGCCAGGGTTTTCATAGGAGGCGGGCAATACCCCCACTTTGTGGGGGGGCCGGTTCAAGCTCTACCAAATTTCCAAACGACTCTTCGCCACCACCCACACCCAGCTTCCCGCCCTATGACGTTCGGACACTTCACTTCGTGGCATGCGGACGACCGTGGCTACTATTCAGGGCCCCGCGGCCGACGACGACGGCGTGCGCGCGCGAAGAAAAAACGAATGTGTCCCGCATGGTATTATTTGACAGGGATGATGGCCCTGGCAGGTGCGCAACCGTTGTCGCAGAAGTTCGAAAAAGTTGCTCGCAAAAGCCCGTTTGACAGAAATGTTTAAAAAGTGTTGGGTTTCCTACGAATCCGCAAGAGCGCGCGGGATGAATTTTGACATTTTTTTTTGAAAAACCATTGGTTTTTTGATGTTTTTATGTTAAAATCGCTACGAAAACTAAGGTTTTGGAAGGATTTCGTCTTGCGCGCGCGAATGTCCACTTTACCTTATTTTTTGCAAGGGATTCTTGAAATTTGATTATATTAGAACAAGAAATGTCATTTTATAGTGTTTTTTGCAAGGGAAAGCGGGGGGGAACAAAACAACCGGATCTGGATCACATCGTTTTACCTGAGACTTCCTCACGAAAATGATGAAAATGTGGCTGCGGCCTAGGCGCGGCGGGGGGGCGTGCACCAGGGGTCCCAACAATAATTATTCTTTAGAATTAATAATGTTCAACAACAACAACAACAACAACAACAACAATTACTAGCACGTGGGGACACTCCGTTCTCACCAGTGCCAGGGTTTTCATAGGAGGCGGGCAATACCCCCACTTTGTGGGGGGGCCGGTTCAAGCTCTACCAAATTTCCAAACGACTCTTCGCCACCACCCACACCCAGCTTCCCGCCCTATGACGTTCGGACACTTCACTTCGTGGCATGCGGACGACCGTGGCTACTATTCAGGGCCCCGCGGCCGACGACGACGGCGTGCGCGCGCGAAGAAAAAACGAATGTGTCCCGCATGGTATTATTTGACAGGGATGATGGCCCTGGCAGGTGCGCAACCGTTGTTGCAGAAGTTCGAAAAAGTTGCTCGCAAAAGCCCGTTTGACAGAAATGATTAAAAAGTGTTGGGTTTCCTACGAATCCGCAAGAGCGCGCGGGATGAAATTTTGACATTTTTTTTTGAAAAACCATTGGTTTTTTGATGTTTTTATGTTAAAATCGCTACGAAAACTAAGGTTTTGGAAGGATTTCGTCTTGCGCGCGCGAATGTCCACTTTACCTTATTTTTTGCAAGGGATTCTTGAAGTTTGGTTATGTTAGAACAAGAAATGTCCACTTTAGCTTATTTTTTGCAAGGGAAAACCGATCGTAACAACACAACCGGATCCGGACCAACCCGTTTTGCCTGAGACTTCCTCACGAAAATGATGAAAATGAGGCTGCGGCCTAGGCGCGACGGGGGGGTCGTGCACCAGGGGACCCAACAATAATTATTCTTTAGAAATAATAATGTTCAACAACAACAACACCAACAACAACAGCAGCAACAACAACAATCATGTTAGGACTGTTCGCCCTTATCTGTTCGAGTGTCCAATAACGCGTCTTCGATCAAACCACTTTTGGGGGGTATACCTTTTTCCCTGCAGGCCGGGCCCCGGCAAGCGGCGGGGCGGCCGCGGACCGTCGGCCCGGCCAGCGGCAGCGCTGATCGGTGGGGCGGACGCGGACCGTCGACCCGACCCCAAAAGGGACGGATAGGGGACCGACCACGACGACAACGACGACGACGTCGACGACGACGGCGACGACGACGACGACGGCGACGACGACGACGAGCGAAAGCGAGAGCGCGAGAGAGAACGACAGCAGGGCCACAAGGACACGAAGTAGGCCACGAAGGGCGACAGCGGGGACACGAAGGGAATGCGTACGGGGCCACGAAGAGCGCGAACGAGCGGGGGCCACGAAGGGCAGATAATGCGGGGCCACAGAAGGCAATGATGGGGCACTGAGGGTAGCAACTGGGCCACGTAGGACAGTGAGGGGGCCATAAACGGCGACAGCGGGGCCACGAAGGGCATGCACATGGGGCCACAACGGGCGCAAACGAGCGGGGGCCACGAAGGGCATACGTATACTGGGCCGCGGAAG